GCGCCTTTCGATTTTGTGCAACTGCATGCTATCAACGTCCCGTCGGAGAGCAATGGGGGATATCCATGAGTCAGTCGTCAGTAAGCCGTTGTATTCATCGCGTAACAGACGCAATCAACCGTTCGATGTTTTCTGTTAGATTTCCATTGACGCAAATAGAGCGGCAAGGTGAAAAGGAAATTTTTGCTTCTTCATCGTCACTATTTGTTGGAGGCACAATTGGAGCTATCGATAGCACTCATGCGTCAATCATGAGTCCCAAAAATCATGAAATGAAGAAGCGCATATAAACCACCATGGATACCATTCCATCAATGTGCAAATGGTGAGAGTAAATTTGTTTCCAATTACTATTGTAGTAACAAAGTTAATTATATTTTCACATACAGATATGTGATCCTTATCGCATGATTATAGCGGCAAATGCCAAGTACCCAAGAGCGGGGCATAATTATTTTATTTGAAGCTCCTCCATAGAGCGAACTATGCATGAAAGTGCAAACCATAACATGTTTTTGACAAACTTTGTAATGCATTGCTATTCATTTAATAAAAATAATTTCTATAACAAATTTATCTGCTTTGGTCATTTCGTTTTGTGTTTTTCGCATATTTTGACGTTTTGTTAAGCTGTGTTGCCACCTTTCCTTCATGTTAATAAAATTGAAATGTCCGTTGTCGATTATCGTAAAAACTGAGTTAGAGAATCGCATAATCGTTAGCGCAAGCGACACAATTCGGAACTGTGCGATCCGACAAATCGTGTCGATAAAAGTTACAGAAATGCACTGCATGAGTTGAATATATGACTCTTCATACGCAATATGTACAGCCTCTTTTTCTTATTTCTACTTCAAGATCAAGGAAACCACTGGCATCTCCACTTCAATACCGAAATACATCGTATATCGAATCTTTTACAAATTATTTACATATACATGTGTATGTACATATATGTATTTTTATAGAATAAGATTTTTTTATCAATAGAAAATGAAAATTAAGTCTTTGCTTAAAATTAGTCACCGTTATAGCTATTTGATGGAGCCACAGGCAAAGGATAGGGACGTAAATAAATAAATAATTATAGCTCACAATTTTTGTCTTGTTTGAGTAATCGCAGATTTTCAATAAAAAGTTGTAATTTCGGTTAATAATATTGCGTGCACATGTTTTGTTGCTACGTAAACACATATATATCCATAAGCAAGTATATGTATGTATATATATTATAAGTCCACATCACGTGATACAATATTATTGTGTAAAAAAATTAAAAAAAAAGAAAAAATTTACAAACAATAAAGAAAGTGTAAGAATAAAATGGTTGGCTGCAACAAGAACTCATATCGAAGGCATGGTGGTATCGGCGCGAATCTACAAGTTCGACATAGCACGATGTGTGTATGTATATATGCATTGCTCATACGTTTCGCCCTATAGCGAATGATACCATAATTGCCCGTTACCACTGCCACCATCATCGTCGTCGTCGCCATCGTCGGCGTCATCGCTGCTATCGGTTAAGGCATAGCGACAGCCATTCACAACGGCGAAAGCAAAAGCCCCAACACAAACAAAAGTAAACACGCCAATGCCGTTCGTGGCCGACAAACAACTATTGCCACTGAATGCCTCATGTTATTGTTGTGTTAACTTAACGTACATAATCGTACATACATACATATACTCGTATAATATATTGCGTTTGTGGTGCTTTTGTTGTGGTCCGACGGAGTTTTTATCATGAATTTCTAAAAAGCGCGGACTGTCATGCAATCGAGGTGTCCGGCGTTAGGTCGGCTGCCGCACCAAATCCAACACAACGTTCTCATTATTGCCTACATACATGCCCATACATACATATGTATATATTTACTTATATATAAACTTATATACGTCCGACAATTTCGTCATCTTCAACGGTGCAGCGAATTCAAGCGGATGTACTCTTTTGAATTGCCTGCTTGTCCACCATTTGTGTATACTTCTCATGTGTTCGTGTTTTGGTGAGTTCATATGTGCATATGTGTGTTAGCCACGATAATGACAGGGCAGCGAAAGGAAAAAACAAAACAAACAACAAAAAACAGGGCACTTGTAAAAAGTGGTTGCTATTCGTACCTCAATCATGTAATTATTTCCTCTGAGTGTCTCGACCACCTTTGGCTTTGGCACCAACAACACCGCAATTCAAGCACAACCGTCAAAAGCTGATGCCAACCAAAGAACAACATGAGCGATAAACAGGATAAATATCTACATAAATACGAATACATATAGACCAAGGTATATATGCATATGTTCATATATACATAAATTTGTAGAACATTAACGAAATAAATACAAGGATTTTTATTTTCAGGAATATTACTGTACGCCGCAATACTACATACCCGAATTAAAATAAGTTTACTTGCTTTTCTAAGATTAAGAGCAAGAGAATAATTGATTAAACAAAGCGATTTAAAAAACGTGTATATGTATTTATATAAAAAAATATGTACATGAATAAATAATATAATAAATAATAATTCTTTGAAAATTTTAATAAGCAAAATTTGGATGGAATGTACAATGGATCTTAACATAATATTATTCAGCTCGTAGTCTAATGGTAATATTGAGGTTTTAACAACTAAGCACCCAGTGGAAATGTGCAGAAATAATCATGGTACCAAAGCCACGAAAACCAGAAAATGAGTTATCCTCGTACAGGCCAATAAGTATATTGACAATATTTTCGAAAATACTCGAAAGAATATTTCTTCGAAGATTACTGGCAGAGTTTGAAAGACAATCAATTATTACAGATCATGAATTCGGTTTCAGGCGTGTGCATAGCACTCTGGAGCAAGGCCATCGTATAGTTAAAGCAATACTTAACAGTTTGAAGCAATAAAAAAATATGTTGCGCAATATTTCTTAATATACAGCAAGAATTTGACAGAGTCTGGCACTCAGGACTGCTATATAAAATTAAAAAATTACTTCCCATCCCATTCTATTTCTTTCTTAGATGTTACCTGAGTTACAGATATTACTACGATAAAATTCAATATTCAGTTTCAGACATATACGAGGTTAATGCCGGAGTATTGGGTCAATTAGTTTATACTATTTATACTGCAGATATGCTAATAATAAAAGACATCAATATAACTGTTGCTACTTATGCAGACGACACTGCAATACTTTCTTTATCTTTCCCTGCAATCCAGGCTGCAGAAATTGTAAATGAACTACATAACTGGCTTACCAAATGGAACATTTCGGTAAATGCATCAAAATCTGTCCATGTCACCTTTACACTTAGAAAAGAAGAGTATCCAAACCTCAGCCTCAATCAAACCATAATTCCAAGATCGAACAGTGCTAAGAATCTCGGACTGCGCTTAGATAGAAGAGTAACTTGGCGTGAACATATTAGAGTCACACAAAGTAGCTTATGATTAAAACCAGAAAAATGTGTTGGTGGCTTGGCCCTAAATCTAAACTTAGCCTTGAAAATAAAATGCTTCTTTATAAAACAATGTTGAAACCACGGTGGATTTACGGAATTCAAATCCAGAAGTAGAACCAGTATAGATGTGATACAAAGATTCCAATCAAAAACACTCCGATTAATAGCGAATGCACCATGGAGCATAGGAAATATTCATTTACACAAAGATCTAAAAATGGTTATAGACGAAATCAAAAGGTTCAGCAGAAGTTATATCGAAAAACTTAACAACCATGCAAACCAACAAGCTATCAACCTGCTAGAAAATAGCGAGGAAGTACCAAGACTACAGAGACTGCAGCCTCTTTATTTGCCATTACAAGCCTTAATTTTAGAACAAATTGCACTTAATGCATCAAGGTTCATTTAAGTTATAGTATAATTTACTTATTGTCAAGCGACAGATTGTAAGTAAAACTATAGTTAAATAGTATATTTTACTTGGAGTAATGAGATTTACGGAAAAACTTACTCTTTCCATTTCAAACTCTGTTTACAATGCATCAAACTTCACAGAATCTCAAAACGAATTAATTTAATCAACTCGTTTGGGTTGAAACAAACGGAAATATTATCGTTAAAGCAGTTAACGGAATAAATTTTATTTCGTTTTTACACAAAACGAAAAGCTGTCGTTAATGTTAAATCGGTAGCAGACAATGTTAAATGTTAAATCGTTAACAGACAATGTTAGACATTTCAACATTAACAAGTTCATTTCGAAATGACATCGTTTCACCAGTTGAGCATATCAGCATAAAAGGTTTAACAAAAAAATTATTTCTTTTTTTCAGTTAAAGAAAAATTACCCTGAGATAAAATATGAATTCTTTATTAACACAGTTTTAACCTAACTAAAATTCCTTACACTTATGTTAAGGAAGCCCAGTGTGCTGTGCTGTGAAAACTTCAATCATACGCCGATCCGTCCCACTTAATCTACTAAGGACACAGGTCAGTTTTATGCTATTGTTATCAAAAATATTAAATTTTCAAACAAACTTATCTTGCAAGAACCATATCCCTCGGCTTTCATTAAAGGGTTAAGAGTAACCAAATAACATGGTTACATGTCCCTTGTAATGTATGAACGATTTAAATGTTTTCAAGTTTTCAATGATGCAAATGTGCCTACCAAAACGTAAAAAAAAATTCGAGAGAATTTGTAAATCATAAGAATAAAATGAAAATTAACTAAACAAGTAAGCAGAGTAAGCCTCCTTTCTGCGCAAACCTTAAGATCTATGAGCCGTTATGCAAACGTAACATTTTTCTGGGAACGTATGTATGTATGTATGTATTAACAGCACTTAGTATTTAAATTTGTTAATGGATTCTGCCTAGCATTGCTGTGTAAGACAGATTAATTCGCCGAAAAACGAATGCAAATTATTTATTATGTAATATATATGTACAAAAATATATAAAAGTCAAGTGTATCTACAATTTGTTGTTGCCAATTAGTTTTGTGGTCGTTATAATAAAGTGTACTTACTTATTGCATTGTCGGCTAAAGGAAAGAAAGAAATTAAAATGTTAAATGTTAGTGAGATTCATTGTTTTGTAGAATATATAAAAATATATATATTATAATGTATTTTATACACCTAAGCTTACATCATGGCGGCCGCACTGCATGCTGCCAATCGGAAGGCTCGGGCTAATATCTTGGTGCTGTACTCACAACCAATGAGTTATAAAAAATTAATTTAAATAAAAAATTTAGCTAAATTTTCCAATTGCGGTCGCCCCTCTGTAGAGAATGTCAACCCCTCCGAGTGTATTTTCGGCATTAAAATCAAAAGTTCCTCATAAAACCCCATCAGCTCTTCGGAGGGGGCTGATTATAAATTGTAATTTCCTCCATTTGTTGGAAGAACATCAAGATGCAAAACCAGAAACTGGAGGAGGATCATTTGATTGGCCATTTGACTCCTTATGAAATCAACATTGATTTTTTATATTTATTAAAGGAAATAAGTTGCAACATCATTTCTGATTATTTAGATATAAAATTGAACACTTATTTGAATTGTTATAAAAAGCAATCGGCTAATTATATTATTTACATTGGATGCGTCCATTTCCCGCAAATAAATGGTTTCTACAATAGTTACGCAGGTTTGTGTTGTTTATCACTTTCAGAAACCGATAAAAATCCTTGGCCCATCTATCCTCTACGGAGATTCCAAAAATACTCATTTACATCGCCAACCACATTTTCCCTTGGAATTTTCTCATTGTTTTGAAAATCACTTTAACTTTCGCCTTGATCATATTCAGAAATTTAATATCTACATCTGAATCCATTTCACTAATTTGTCGAACTCTTTCCAAATCTTCCACGGACCTTGCGGACATATTCAGAGTTGCAGTGACACACAAGTACAATTGAATCTAACAGAAAATGTCCAAATGCAACTAAAACTATAGTGCATTGCAATTGCTTGGTAGGATCACCTGCAAAGCTTTTAAAACTAAGATTCTAAGGTTCTAAGGTAAGGCTACAAGTAGTTGAAAAACTGCTAAAAAATATATAAACTTCGTTCGGGGTCAAATCACCACTGATACGTAAGGAAGGTAGAGAATTTTTGTCGGCAAAAAGAAAAACGAAAAAAAAGAAAAAGTTGCAAAATGTATCGGATGATATAAGAATTTACAAAAATTCAAATGATCGACAGAAATGGCAATAAATGTAGAAATTTAAAATCAATTTTCAAAAAGGGTCAAACCCAAAGTCTTTGGAACGTAGTAATTTATTAAGACCTTTTTCGTATAGATCATTGAATCGAGTTCTAGTCAAACCAAAATTATATAACAAATTCAACTAGTGAGCGCGCTCGTCATCGGAAAGTGTTAACTCCTCTCATAAAAATCTATCAGCCATTAAGATGAGTATAAACTTTAGGTCCCTCTCTTTGTTGGGAAAACATTAAGACGAATACTGCAAATTGAAGGTCATGGCGGTCTCTCTTAGCTTATTTGAATATATTCCAAATTTTGGGAAAACATTTCTTGATATAAGATTTGGTTAATTGGATTACAAAATAAGCGAACGCTTCCTAAAAATGCTTATACATTATCAAAAAGTTTCTTTATTGGCACTAACTTTCCAGTTGAAAAGTTTCTTGACATTCAATTTTAGTATATAGTCTTAATACATAATCATTTGACTTATCTTGTCAAGACTTCCACAAAAAATAGAAGCCTTGACCAAAAAATAAATATAAATAATAAACAGCCAATACAACCAAATTAATGGGCAACACTCCTTCCGATTAATGCTGCAGGCAGGCAGCAATATCGATTACCGCCTTCCAAAACAATGGGAGTTCACTTTTACTTTTAATAATTGCAACAAGGCCCCGCTAACGATTTTTTTCAGATTTGTGGACTTAAAGTAAAATATAAAAGACTCGAATCGCTGTACAGCAAGCGAAGCTGCTAGTTTTTGCATAGTTCGCAAACACAGCTGGTAGGATGAGTACCGCCCCGCTGGAGTAGAGAAAAAGCAAGCTGCTTGTCTCCCAATGTTGCGATCAACCATTACACGAGATATTCACCACGAGCCAAATCTTGTAAAAGGCCCGTAAAAAGCGTCGATTTTAAACCAGTTTTTAGGAGTTTTTGATTTTCATGTCAGATTTTTTGTATTAAAGGGTTAGGTCTTGAAAGCCAAAAAGAAAAGCTTATTTTCTCTAATTTTTTAAAAGACACTAACTAAAGTATTCAATTTATTTAGTTTACATATAAAAGTACAATATGTGGACAACATTTGATGAAAGTTTGAATGAAAAATAGTATAAGTTAAGGCGTTGGCAGTGTCGTGAAGTAAACCGTCCACAAGAAAGTGCTTTCGCGGTAGTCATGATAACTTTTTCAATTTTCATCTGAAATCAAAAATCCAATTTTTCTTAAAACATTCGAATTTTCCTTGTCCCTGAATGAAGAAAAAAAAATTGAATTTTTGTAGCATTTTTTACAAAAAACGTCATTTTTTGCATAAAATTAGGCCACATATTTGTTTGTGAAATGAGTTGAAATCAAAGATAAAATTAATTCTTCGTTCAGGGACTACAAAAACATGTTTAAAAGAAGTGTGGGAGATTTGAGCTCGATCGCTTCAATAGTCGTTGAGAAATTTTGACTACCGATTTCGATAAAGTGGTTTTAAGTAAAACACGTTTAAAGTTTCGCCATCGGTCAAGCCATGACAAAGACGGCGCGTTATAAAACTCTCTTCTTTCTACAGTTTCGTCTCGATCGACTGGAAACTTGGGGAAATTATTCCTGACACTTTGTACTTTTATACAAAATTTATAAAAGAAATGAATTTTTGGAAGTTTCAAGACCTATGTAACCCCATAAAGTTATTTTACTCACTTTTTGATGTTGGTCGTACCAGGTTTGAAGCCGGGCCTTCCGAATGGCAGTACGCAATGCTACTCATCCTATTGCTGGAGAAAATGATAAGAACTGTAGTGCTGAACTAAGAATGTACAGTCTTCTAAAAGAGTTTGTAGTTATTGGCGTACTCCGATGACATTGACATTATTGGTCTCAACAACCGGTTTTGCTTTTTTGAAACTTGTTTAGGAAGAGAGGCGTATTGGGTCTGGTAGTGAACTAGGGCAAGAAGAAATATATTCAGTGTTAAACAAATAGTAACCGCATATACGACTTGGCTCACACGTCTCTTTTGACAATTGAAATTTTGAAGTCGTAAAGAATTTATTTTCTCTTGCAACCAGCACTAAAAACAATAAAAATATCACCATTGAGTTGACAACTGAAGAGTAGATTTCTCTCTCGACGAACGACGGCCAAACTCTACAAGTCGTTCATCGTTCTCTGATGCCTGATAAGTTGTATGTTATAGCACGAAAGGTCAATGCCTCGAACTGTATTTACGGCAATACGCAACGGCTTCTCCGAACCAAACCTTAGCTTTTTATAGGCGACACTAAGATCAAGGTAACACACAAACAAAGTACACAAACACAGTATACTAAAGTGGCAATTCTTAAGAGAGGTAAACATTTTTTAAGTACGCGAGTTGAGTTTTTACCCTCACTAAAGTAAACCTGAAATTACCATCAACTTTGGCACTTTAAACAAGTGTATCTATCACCACCCCAATCGCAGCCGACTACGACTCTCTTATCAATACCATTTCGAAAATGCTGCTGAATTCAATAAATTTTGTATTTTATAGAGTCTCACACCTTTCAAGAACGTATGACAATTTCAAAAGCAGTAGAAAAGGAAGCTATAAAATTTATAAGTTCATAAAATACTGTTTTCTTTTAACAGATGTAGGTATGTAAATACAAATATATTTTTTGAGCTTTAACTCTATAAAGGACCCTTATAGAAGTAAGCAAAAAATTTTGAATTCATGCAGCAAATTACGTGAAATATTATATATAAATGTGTATCAGAACTTCTGCTGTAATCTAATTAATAGCAAATTAAAAAAAAAAATTATATAAAATATTAGAGGCCGCTGTTTAAATTTCCAAATATCAACACATTGTCATTTGCTTGATATTTTTTTTTTTTCGCTCAAAAACATATCAAATTCACTTTTTTCATGGCTACAAAATGTTTGTATACATGCGAATACATATGTACATATGGGCAAGTATATGCACCTGGTATATATAAAGTAAAAGCGCTACCTTTCTTCTTAAAATTGGAATGCATACTTGTGTACAAGGTTATATACATACATATGTTTTTTGACGACAAGCAACCACAGTCACAAAAGTCAATATTCGTGTACCTTTAGATAAATACACGAAGGAGAAAATGACTGTATGAAGAAAAACGAATTTCCGTTTTTCCTGCCGTTTTAGCAAAGGTTTCCTTGGCGGAAGCAAAATTGTTCGAGGGTGAACCATAAATTCCGTTAACGAAAGGTAAACGAGAAAGAAAGTTAGAAATCCTTTAAAAAGGAAAAACATAAACAATATCACACCCACATATTATTTACAGCGTAGCTGATGTTATTACTATAAATTTAATATGAGCAAATGCGTATAGCCGAGAAGAACTTGAATGAGGTGTAAAGGTCACAGCTCCAAGTAAAATTAAAATATTTCAGAAATCTCGTCTGAAGTTAACAAAAATAACATAGGAGGCTGGGGTGTCAAGATCAGTTTATTTATTTATAAATGTCCATAAGTTTTTGTTTGAGTCAGTTTGATCAAAATATTGCCCAAGATTGTTAAGTTGAACTCCGCAGCAGACGAGATGTTGGTACTATAGGCTACTATACGGAGGAACATTTGTAAAAGATGAAGTTTAAAATTGTTGAACCCTCAATTATTTCAATGTAAAGTGGAAGATATGCCATTAATAACAGAAGACAATATCAGCCAAATGGCTATCACGGCTACGCTTATAGGACCGTATCCTTTTTATGAAATTTCTCTACACCGAATCGCTGTATTCCCTCAATGCTTTCTTTTAATTCTTTCTCTTAGGCCTTGAATCCACATTGGCCTG